AAACCTTCAGTCTGACCTTTTTACAGTAAGGAGCACAGAGAAACCAAACGAGCTCATTGTGTTCACTGTAGAAATACAATCCAAAAGATTCCATACTTACCTCAATTACACAGATTTGTGGCTCTTTCTTGTCATCATCCACTGGAACTTTCGCCTGATTCATTACCCATTCCTGAACTGCATCAGTAATGTGTGGAACAACTACAAAACAATACCAAAGATGGCAAGCACAGCTTATTTTAGACCCATATACTAATTTTTGCATGCAAAGGGGATAAAGTGAGCAGAAGGCCAAGAAGAAACTACTAGGTCCTTCCTCTAGTTCTCCTTTCCTTGAGCCCAGAAGCCAAACATTACAGGAATATGCCTGCACCTTTTGGAAGGGAGAAAGAAGTAAAGTGGTGCAGCAAGAAGCAGCCTGTTCTAGCTGATCCCTTCTTTTGGGAAGAATGAATGGACTATTATCCCACAAAATGAAAAAAATTACCTTGAACGGTTTTTCCCAGATAATCACCATGTCTTTCTTTATTAATGACATGCTGATATATCTTTCCAGTGGTGATATTGTTATCTTTATAGAGATTGATGTCCAAAAATCTCTCATAATTTCCCAAATCTAAGTCAACTTCTCCACCATCATTCAATACAAAAACTTCACCTGAAAAAAGAAAGCAAAAACAGACAGAAAAACAATAAAATAATCAGAAATTATTAAACACACAGCAGGAATATCACAGATATCTTAAAATAGAAGAAAAAAATTATATATGACAACAACATATCAATAAAGTTCATACTGCAGCTCAATCTACATTGTCATTATGTATAACTTAATATCCAAGTCATTAGTTTTACATCTAATGTCCATCCCTCAGAAATGTATAGTTTTGCAAATAAAACGTAAGTTATATTGCCAAAATATTTAAGCAACATAAATATTTAACCAGCATTTCAACACCAGAATAATCTTCCATTGGAAGAAAACAATCTCTAGCAACCATAAATCAGAAACAAATAAAATATTCATTTACTTGCAGGCGAGAAAAACTATGCTTTTATAAGCATGAATTATTATACATGTTCTAAGTGTTTCACTATGAATTCTTGTTGTTTGGATCTATTTTAATGATTGAGGCTTGAATGTTATGATGAACTAAAATGCTTCTTCAAACGTGATCACTGTTTCTGAGTTGGTTGTTTCATCCAATATATTTGGTTCATCGTGTTCATAGCAAGGTTTATTTCTGACTCTGAAAAATCCACTTAAAATACCCTTCAGGTTCACATTTTCCTTAGCCCTCTAAAGAGTCTCTAAGCTCTCAATCTAGTCAACTTCTGACAGAACTCAAGTTGCTAGACCTTCAGGTAAGGCTGGAAAGCTCTCCAGTAAAACTGTAAATATTTTGCCATGACCCAATAAATCAATTTACAAAAACAAATTACATGACTAATGCACAAAAGAAAAAAAAAAGTGGACTACAGAAATATATATGGCACAAAAGTACAACACTCCACTTCAATGAACTGCCTAACAAATCACTCCAATGTGTACAACAGAGAGGATGAATTATGCCTGATTCTGTGAGGCACTTAATACATCCTCTATACTAAATCATCATTTCTGCCAAGAAGCAGAGCAGAATCAACATGTCTCTTCAGCAGGCCTTGGAAGAGAAGAATAAAAAAATATTATTAAAAAGGCTCTACAGTTTCCTGGAAATCACTAGATTACTCTAGTAATTCAATACTCAATCATATTCAATACTCAATTCAGTACTCAATCATATTTCTGTCAAAATGTTAATGAAGGAGGGTCACCATTCCAGCTCCTGGAACTTCCATGTACTATGCAGAAAGCCAGTGTTTCTTCACAAGCAGTAAGAAAATTTTCAGTGAAAAATAGAATTACATGCCCTAATGTTCCCCCTCCCCTCCACCTGGTCCAGGGAAGGAATATATCCTCACAATCTCAAGTCATCACAGGAGTTGTATGACCCACTCAGCTACTTAAGCAGCAGCACACGTGCTCCTTAAAGTGCAGTAAATTTTGTTTTTTAAGAGAGGTCTCACATGCTCTGCTCTTCCTCTACTTAAAAAGCAGTGTTTTTTCAGTTAAGGAGATAGACATATTTATCTTCAGTTCCAAAAATTCTGGTGTGGACTAAAAGTAAGCAAACAAAATCCAAAACACAAAAATAATTAGAAATGTCTACTGGCTGAAGGTACTTTGAAAACCACTGTTTTTAATAAATGTACAAGTCACAAGCCACACAGCTGAGGGAACATTCAAACTTCATGAATAAAATGTTTTGTAACTCATCAGCAATAGTCAATACAACCAATGTGACTTAGAGAACCAACCAATCAAATTACACATCTACTTTAAAATCGTATCATTAGCAGGTTCTCTAAGCTTCACTAATGTTTTTGACTAGACTTTTTTTTACTAAAATGAGAAGCTAACTTTCATGAAGGCACGTACATTAGAAGGCACTAATACCCAGAGAACAGCATTTTCAAATAACTGTTAGGGACATAAGTTTCAGGTTTTGTAGCACTATTTAAAAGAGGTTTTTAATCAAGTTGAACTGAATGTAGCATTAACTGAACAAGGCTTACAGCTAGGATTTTCCCAGTAAAGTAGTATGTTAGAGAAAGAAAGCATCTGCTCATAACAGTATCTTCAAAAGAACAGGCTTCTGTTTCTTAACTTTGAGCAGACAGAGTCCTTGAGAACACAGAGTAAGCAACAAACTTTCAAAATAATGATAAAACAACTTGTAAACAGCATATTATTGGTTTTTAAAAAATAAAACCAGAACATATTATTGTAAATACAAATGTTTATGCAAAAGGGAACAGCACTAATCCTCATACCATGTTCATAGGGTGAAAAGGTTCCAGCATCTATGTTTATGTAAGGATCAATTTTGATTGCAGTGACACGTAGACCACATGATTTCAGAATGGTGCCAATGCTGCTTGCAATGATCCCTTTGCCAATGCCCGAGATGACACCACCAGTTACCAGAATGTACTTCATTGGAAAATCAGCACACGTGCACAGACCTTGAGCTGGAAATCTAGAACAACAAAGATGTACATCTGATGAATGTAAATTCATGTCTGGGAAGATCACAGACTGAATCTGTGAAGAATCTAAATTGAAACAACCTTCAGAAACATACAATAAAAATGACCACTTTGGAATGTGGGAGCAGGATTCACCTCTCCCAGGTTACATACCAATATGTAAGATAAACACCTATCTTGTCCCTAGGTTCTGATGAGGCTGATCAACACACAGAACTGAGGTATCAATTTGCTGCTCTACACAGAAAGGGGTGCTGGCTGGCAAATCCACAAAAGGACTACAAAAACTTTTTACTTTTTGTATGTTGTAGCAAACAAAGGCACCAGTATTCATCAGCTACAAGCTGCATTTTTCCCCCCATCTGAGACAGGATGACATGTATCTCATCCGTAGGTGAATTCACATTCCATTCAGGTGGCTGTGGAGGCTAATCACTGAACAATTTTTGAACAGTGACAGCATGGCTCACCATAAAGCAAGAACTCTGGAGCCTAGAAAATCTTTCCTTACTTAAATATCCAATGCACCCAAAACAACATGCAACAGCACGTCATCTAACGGCCCTCAGTATAAATCAAAGCAGTGTGGTTCTTCAGCTGCGGGTATGAAGCAGTACATAGTCAATAAACATTTTAATTCTTTTTATTATACTAAAGTAACACAAATAAGGCCTGGATCTTCAGGAGACTGAGTTCAGGAATATAACAATGCCTTGTTATCAATACTCTTACATTTCCAGTAATAGGAATCATTAAATTATTTGCTTGTCAATATGATCGAAAGGATGACCATAATGGCCATAATCAAACGTTTTTAATTCAGGAGAAGAAGGAACGTCAGGTATTAACTTTTCCCTGCCATTTAATTTTAATATGCATTTCTCTTAATAGCAACAATTTAAAGAATTGGACTCTACTACCACTGTTTCAGGCTATTCCTTCAGAACTCAGCCAACGTAGCTGTCAACATTAACATCATAAACATCTCAGTCATTTTCAAAGCTCTTTTCAGGAACAGGGAGGATAGTTTCAACAACGGTACAAATCTTGAGCACATGCCACTTTAGAACTCTTAAATCTTGCTTACAGAAACCAAAATAAAAAGCTTGCTGTGATTTCAGCAAAACCAGCAATATCCCAGAAGCTTCAGGAAACGCGTTTACTTGAAACAGGTACAGAGAACTGCAGGTGGTCTGAGAAGTCACTTGTAAAAAATGAAGGAAACGGAGTTAGGGGAGGGAGAGCTGAAAGCGAATACTGGAAGAAATCACTTTGCTGGGAAGTGGCACACGAGTTACTCTGTGCAGCCTTATCTACAGGAGTCACCGCCTCCCGCAGGGATTTGCGGGCGCCGCACCCCAAACGTGCCGCGCCGCGGGAGCGCTCGGGGCGCTGCGGCCGAGCACGGAGAGGCCTCTGACTTACGTAGGTGTTAAAGGCGGCTGCTCCCACCAGAGCCGGCAGCGCGGACGAGGAGAGCCCGCCGCGGGAGAGCCGAGCCCGAGCGCACGGCCGGCGGGGCGGGGGCGGCACCTGCCCGGGGGGGAAAGGGGGCACAGCCCCGGCAGGTAACGCGCCTCGGAGCGCAGCTGCGGCAGCGGGCACGGACACTCCTGCGGGGGGCGGGACACCCCCGCTGGGCACACCCCCGGCTGGGAGGGACAACCCCTTGGCACACCCCCGCTGGGGAGGAACACCCCCAATGGGAGGACCACCCCAGCTAGGCACACCCCCGCTAGGAGGGACACCCGTGCTACAGAGGGACAACCTCGCTGGACGGACACCCCGGCTAGGGAGGGACGCCCCCGGCGCGGCAGGTGCGGCGCGCCCCGCTCGGCCCGCCCCTTCCCGCGGCCCTCCTCCCGGAAGTGACGCACGCGGAAGCGGCGCGCAGCGGCCGGCCGGGTTTCCGCAGTGGCGCCGGCACGGCCCGAGCGCGGCCGCCGCCCCTGAGCCATGTTGCGCGGCCTGGGCAGCTGGCTGGGGCTGGAGCGGGCGGGCGAGGAGCAGCTGCTGCCCGCCGGCAAGAGGAGCGGCCCCGCGGAGCAGGAGCAGCAGGAGGAAGAGGAGGAGGCAGGGCCGGCCGGGCAGGATCAGGGCGAGCTGCAGGGAGACTCGGAAGCGCTGCTTAGCCAGGCCAAAGGATTCGGCAGTGAGTGTCCCGGGGCTGCCGCTTTTCCAATATGAGCTAAGGAAACCAGGCTGCAAATGTGCCTCTCGGTTATCGCCTCTTTTGGAGCTGTTTTTAAAGGAGCAGCGTTTCTTAAATATCTGTTCTGTTGGCACTATGGGAGGAGCTCTGTGTGTAGAGAGAATAGATCTGTCTACGTAAATAATGTACTTCACAGATTGCTATGGGCGTTTGTGATTCTTTTCATAGGAAAATAATGAGTTTGATGATTTTGTTGAACATGTCTGCGGTCTTAGAATCACAGAATGGTTTGGGTTGGAAAGGACCTTGAAGATAATCTCATTCTACCCCTCTGCCATGGGCAGGAGCACCTTCTGCTAGACCAGGCTTAAAGCCCCATTCAGCCTGGCCTTGAACCTTGCCAGGAATGGGGCAAAGCTGTAATTTGCTATAAGTAAAACTCCTACTTTACTTGTAGTGAATTCTTGAATCAAAGTAGTCCAAAGTACAGACCTATACTCATTACTAAAGATTTTTTTTAGAAAGGGGGTTTCGGTTTTGTTTTTTTTAAATTGATGCTCTGAAATTCTGGATCAGTATCATCTGAGAGGTTAATCTGAGCTGGTTCTTTATTGTGCATTGTCTTGGGCAGCCTGAACTGCAGCAGTTTAGTCTGTGTAGTTTGGTCAAATACCTGTCTGGTTGTGGTAAATTGATTCTAATCTGCTGTTTCCTCTGATTGTTCTAATCTGCAAATTGGTCTGACTGTTCAGGAAGAGAAAAGGACTTTGAGTTTCAGGGGAAGAATAAGTATTGACTGTTATCTATATAATGATCTATCCCATAACTTGCTCTGTGAAAATTTGGTTTAGTGGTCAATGTGTCCATTGTCTGTGATGCCAGAGTTGTGGCTTTCTTGCTGTTTTAACGCATAATCCTAGAAACCTTCACGGCCAATAGCCTGGGTAGCTGTGAAAAAAGAATGGCAGATAAAGAATTTTACTGGTAAAACCAAAGCCTTATAGACATTTTTTGCTCATTATCATGTCATTACAGAAATTATGAGCATTTTGCCAATGTGAACTAATAACAGAAATATTACTAGATACATATTCTGAATACGGGCATACACTTGTAAGATGGAAGATGAGTTTCTTAGTCATTTGAAAGTGTTATTTTCCACCTCTAAAACTATTTTTCTAAGGCTAAGTACCAGCCCTTCTGCAGTTTTATAAGTACCTTAGTTGAAAAGAGTATTTCCCCTTATTGGAAATAAAAAGCATATTGCTCTTCAGCGTGGTTCCAGGACTGGACAAAACCACTTTGTGCAATAATGCCAGAATGTCACCAGACAGCAAATGTCTCTGCACATTTTGCCCCTAAAACAATGGCATATGAGAGAGTTTCTAGGCATACATGAAACAGAAGACAATGTAAAATAGATAAGGGCAAACATCAAGAGCAAGCTTGTAAGCTAAGACTTTTGAAGGAGGTGTTACTTGCCTGAAATTTTTCATGCATTTGCTGCCTCAGTTTATAAGACTTTATTGTGCATGTTGATTTTTTTTAAAAAATGTAATTCTGTTTTAATACTGTGGCTAAGTTACTTTATAGCTTAATATTTCCAAAATACTTATATGAAATCAGGAAAAACACATTGCTTCAGAAAACTCATTGGAAAGGAGTATTTCAAGGACCATTAGGTATGTTTGATTTAGTAAACAAGGTTTATGTATAAATATTTCATTTACAGAAAGTTGTGATCATCATCATCATCGTTAAAGAATATAAAGTAGAAAAGGATAAATAGAATTAGTTTTTTGTAGGCCATTAGCTGGGATAAGTTATTTTGAAAGAAACTTTTAAGTAGGTATCCAAATGTCTAAAGAGAAGGAAAAATAAATGTAGAAAGAGAACTGGATGTAAAGAAATCTTCTCTCAGATCTTTCTTTTTTTGTCTGTGAAAGGTTACCTCTTCAATTTTGCCTCTGCTGCTACAAAAAAGATATCTGAGTCTGTTGCTGAAACAGCACAGACAATAAAGAAGTCCGTAGAAGAAGGAAAAATTGACAGTATCATCGATAAGGTAATTTATTTTTAGACTCTGGATCTGAAAGATCTGTTTGCTTACCATTGTTACAACATGTGGCAAATCTAACATTTGATAATGTTTCTTTAAGCTGTCTTTAGATACTGTGCCTTTCAAGAGATACTATGCATCTCTTGTCTTGATGAATGATGTGACTGAAATGTTTATTCGTGGTAGAGTTGCCAAAAAATGGTCACTCTGCTTTTCTCAGTGCTGCACCTGTGTTTGTTCCGTTGCCTCAGGATGCTGATATGCTGGAGAAAGACCAGAAGCAAATATGAAAAATGCTGACGTAGGTGGAAGAATTTGAGACAGGCAGTTGGGGAATGTCTGTCCCAAGATGTGTGGACTGCCACATCTTTTGCCCCACAGCTTATTTAGTTGGAAAAAGGAATGAGGAATGCATCTTAAATGCACCTCTGCAAAATTCTGCAAAAGTCAGAATTAGCTTGATGTTGTACATATTGTGTCCTGGGACATTAGCAATATACAGGTCGTTTCATAAGAGCCAGTGAGATAATGAAACACCTTGTTACTGTCCTGTTCTTTTCCCCACCTGACCCTGCCACGTCGTTCTTGCCCTCTCTGTTCCTGTCTGTCAGCTCCAGTTGCTTAACTTGTGCCAGCAAGTGTTCTTCCAGTGCTTTAAGCCACTAACTTGGCAGAAGGAAAAAGAAAAAGGCAGCATTAAGTGCCATGAAGTGTTCTGTGTTTGCTATTGACAGTACCTGGGAAGGGAAAGGGAGCTGGTCAAAACCATCTCAGCTGTAGTGGGACTGTGCATCCAGGAGTGTCTGACACAGGCAAACCCCTTTTCCTGCTCCTGTCTCTCAGACAGCCTTTCTGGGGAACTACAGCATTGCCTCTTTATTTTTTAATACAATAGAATTCTGCTTCCTGATGTAATTAGTGTTCATGTTGTCTTCCAAACAAATAATCAAATGACATCAAATTAATTTCTATTATGATCACATTTTACATTTTGTCTTCAGATTTCATTGACAGTTGTCTATATAATAATAGCAGAGATCTATTTCCTTCTACAGTAATATCAGAGTCTAATGTTATTTTGATCTACATCAAAGAGGAAAAAATCAAGTAACAAGGTTATTTGTTAATTTAATACGCTAATAATAATGCTCCTGAGAAACTGTAGCTAAGTACCTACAGCATATTTTATGCCTTAAATACAATTTTCTTTTTTCTGTAAATGTCTTAGAGTAATATGAATTCCCTGTTTTGATTAATCAGTATCATATACAGGAGAAACAAGATTATACCTGTATCATCATAAAGCTTTCTTCTTATACTATATAAATTATTTTATTCCATAAGTTGAAGAAATTAACATAACTTTAAACCAGAAGGAACCACAATAATTTGTGTTTATAACTGATACTACTGTAGTTCTCTCACTCATAGTAATCTTAAACTGAAATACTGGGTCACTGAAGGAAAAAAATAGTACAGGAATTTATCAGGATTTAGCTTGAAGACTTCTGAGCATTTTGGCAACTTGTTAATCCATAGACCTCACCGCATAAAATTTGTATTTTGGGAGTGGTTTAAGTTTTCATTTCTAGCTTCATCTTTTTTGCCTCTGCTTTCAACCACAGAGTATTTGCATTCTTGCTTCTAGATTATGGCATTCTGAATTCTGAGAACCATTCTCCTTTTTTAAAATTCTAAATTCAATATAGAATATTTCCAAGTATGATTTTAATGAAAATTTTTCAACAATGTAAGTAGAGAAGTTGTCGTGTTTCAGCTAAGCAGGTGTTCTGAAATCCAGCTTTACAATTTTGAAAGTCCAGTTTCTTGCAATGGAGATATTTCTTAGGCAACTCTTGAATCTTCTGTAAGGCCAAGGTCATCTGTAAGTGTTAGTGCTTTAAAACCATGTTTAAATAAGTCTAAGCAATGTGTGTCGTCTGTATTTGATACAGTGAAACAGTAAGTGGATATGCCTAGTATGCCGATGTTCAAATTATCAGCTAAGATTTTCCATCTTTTTTCCTTGTCCCCTGAACTTGATAAAACTATAAATATAATTTTGAAAGCATACACAGTAGTTTTAAATGCTAAATCAAATGTTTCAGTAGAAGGAAGTGTATGATTGACATGAAAGATTTTTAACTTACAGGAAGGGCCATCACAGATATAAGAATATGCACTGTATTTGAAAGCACTTTCTGCATGAATATAAAATAAGAAGAGTGATTTTTTTTTTTTTAATTGTGGTTCCCTAATTTTTATTTTAGACAATTATTGGAGATTTTCAGAAGGAACAGAAGAAATTTGTCCAAGAGCAGCAAACCAAAAAGTCAGGTAAAGTATGCTTTTTTTGATGATGCCTAATATCACATAAGTGAAACCTTGCTGAAAGCTGAATTATTGAGCTATATCTAAAACTACTCTATCAAAACACTATTTAATGAAACACATTATGGCAGAACTTAATGCATATGGTGGAATAGGAAGGTTATATTTTTAAGTGAGGTTAGTGTTATGTTATCTAATTGGTTTAGACTTGCTTTTCTAACCAAATTCTGCTTTATGAAATAAACTCAAAGATCACCATGCTAGCAAAGTTGTTTTCTCACATTGTGTTTCATCATCGACTTTTATCATTTTCAGCGTGTTACCTGAATACAATAATTTCTGACAGTTTGAGTATATAGTTACTCTGTTAATCTTGAAAAAGAGCTGATTTTAAATGGATTGTGATAAAATTTTTCACTTTGTTTGTAGTAAGTGTGTTCGTCTGGTTTCTTCTTGCAGGATTGCTTATGGCATTGTGTTGTCTGAATTTCTATCTTTTTGTCTGTTAGTAAACTTGGGATTCTCTTAATATATTTCTAAAAGCTTAATGGAACTAGGTAGTTAGGTTGGCCAAAGGAGAAGTAACAGATGGCTTGACTGAAAGAAGCATCAGCATGTGATGTGGATTCATGTGGGTGAAAGATCTTGCTGATATCAGCTGCACGGGCAAACAAGTGTTGTTAGTTTAAGGGCACAGGAATTACTTATCTGCTACAGATGCATTGTATTGTCTGTGTAGGCTGAATTTGCATTGACAGTGAAGAGATTGATAAATATCTATACATCTACAATAGTTTATTTTCATTTCTGTACAGCCCAAAGAATTATTTTGAAAGTATCTGCCTAACAATGTGAACTGAACTGAACTGGAGTAGGCTTACTCAGTGTATAAGGGGTTGTAGTCCATAACAAATTGATAACATTTTTCTCCATCGTTAAAGAGTTGGTGTCTTCTGGGTGTAAGTTACTTTGCAAACTTAATTTCGACAAAGTTTACACATTTAAAGTGGATCTGGAAATACTATTTGCAGGCAACTTAACCAGTTTTACAGCACTACTTCACTAGCTAAACTAAGAGGCACCAAATTCTGACTGGTGCACGCTGCAAAGAAATCCCCACAGTTTTATTTTTACAATAACAGAGATCAGCAACTATTTAGTTATTATATTTTTACCTCTGATAAGCGAAGATCCATTCCTAGGGTTTCTCTCTTACACCATGGGCTTAGTTTAGGAAAAAGACACAATGATTTGGCATACTGGTGTAACTCTGCTTACTTTTGTGACACTCTGTGTTACCTTACATAAGGTCTGTTATTTGGAGTGGGTTTTTTCCAAGTATTCTACATGCAATTATCTTCCTCCTTTCAATACTAGAAGCAGCAGTGCCTCCCTGGGTAGACAGCAATGAAGAAGAAACAATTCAACAACAAATACTGGCCTTATCAGCAGTAAGTATTTCACTTCCTGTAAGATTTGAAATTTTCGCTTGGAGGAATTAAATCCACTGGGTTTTTTAAGTAAGTTTGTTAAATTATGTGTTTTCAAGATACTTTTAATATGTCTGTCACCACACCAATTATGTGCAAGAGTCAAACAGTTCTAGCAGTTTCAACTTGAACCAAGCAGATCCTCAATATAGTTTTTATTTTTAGAAAGGCTTTACAGATTGCTTTGCTGTTCTTGTGTGTGAAATATGGTGTCCTTCTGATATCATTTAATGGCCATAAATATATTCTTCAAAGGATAAACGGAATTTTCTGCGAGATCCTCCAGCAGGTGTGCAGTTTCATTTTGACTTTGATCAAATGTACCCGGTTGCACTGGTCATGTTACAAGAAGATGAGCTTCTCAATAGGATGAGGTTTGACCTTGTTCCCAAACAGTAAGTAATTTCTGCTGGTAACTGTACCATCATGCTTTTAATGTGTCTGTAAATACTCATAAATTACTCCTTGTTCCTCTCTTCCTTCAGTTCTTTATGTTCTTCCAATGTGTACATATATTTTTATGCTAGTGTCTAACATATGGAATATTGCATGTGCATTGCAGTTTACCAGTTTGAGGTAAGAAAAGGAATATATCTGTGAGACAGAACTAATAGGGTCCTGTTGACTTAAGTATGGGAGAGGCCCTCAGTATTTCCATGTCCAGTGTGCTAAATTAAATGGGTTTTTTTCTTCAAAGGAAGGTAAAGGCAACAATAAAAATGTTCAGATCTGTTGGTGTAACTGACATCCCAAAAAGGTGATTATAGATAGTCAGAGACTGCCCCTGGAGAAATGGTAATAGAATGTGTCACAAAAAAAAACAGCAATGCAAGCAAGAAAAACTTGATTTGAGTAAGAAATGGGAAAAGCTCTGTGTTGCAGAGCTTTATTCTGGAGCTATTATTCCTTGTCCAGTCCCAGACTCTGTTCCTAATGCTTGTTTCACAACTCAACTTTAAGTGGGAATTCCCAACATTAGTCTCCTTGTCTAAATATGGAAACAGAAAATCTTTCCTTGTGACATTTAATGTCTTAAATCTCCTCCTTTTATAAACCTTCCCAGCTCCTCATTCTGTTTACCTTGTTGTCTGTTGTCAGTTCTGAAGATCTGTCCATATTGTCTGATGCTCTGTCTTCAGCCTCTGGTCATGTTATCCTTGCCTTTTCTACCACATTGCTTAATATTTTTATCACCTGTTCTTAGTCTCAGTGGTCACTGTTTGCCTGAATAAGTGTGAAGGTAACTTCATTCTTTCTTAACCCACACAAGTTCCTCCCCACAGATCTTGCCATTTCTACCTTTTGTTGCCTGTGCATTAAAGTGCAGATAGTGACATAGTACTGCTGCCATCTAGGAATGGCTTCTGCCACCACAGATGCTCCAGTTCCACCTGATGTCTAGGGAAGACGTGGACAATTATAGTTTGACAATAATAGAGCGTTTGGCTTAGAGGGGAAGAGAATGGGATTGTTTGGCTTGTTGGGTTTGTTTACATAGTTTGTCAGGAAAGATAGAACAGCATAATATTTTTCCATACCATGTATTGCTGCATGCTGTTAAGCTTTTTCTAGAGTTACAACATTACTATTGTAGGTTCAAGTCAATTGCAAATGTCTTGTGAGACATCAGGAACTTCTAAAATGATGGACGTTTAAGAATGTGTTAATGTCATAAATTTATTTTTTAAGGTTTTACTTAAATATTACCTGTCTACTCCTCCTCTCTGCATATTTAATTCATTTCATTGCTAGATGGTAAAAAGAACCATATTCCAAATGTAATAATCAAAATCTGTTTGTTCTCCCTAGTGTAAAGGAGGAGGTGTTCTGGAGAAATTATTTCTACAGGGTGTCCCTAATTAAACAGTCTGCACAACTCACTGCGCTTGCAGCACAACAGCAAGCAGCAGGAAAGGAAGAGAGCAAAGGCAGAGAAGAGGATAGTGAACTGAAAGGTATGGGAAACATTTGTTTTAGCACAGCTCATTAACTTAATGTCATGCTGTTGTCTAAAATTGGAAGAGAAATTTTTCAAACAATATTAAAATAGAGAACATAAAGAGCAGTCTTAATGAAAGCTTTCAGTTGCACATATAATACCTATATGCATGTACAGCATCAAATTTTCACAAGTTTAATTAGTTACCATGTCTAGCAAGTACATCCAATAGGAGAACAGTTGCCCTGGTAACCCACCCTTAGATCTGCCCCATTGCAGCCCCTCCAAGGATTCTTAGCCCTATATTTTGTTATACTATTTCAGCCCATTTGCTAGTGCAAAACAGGATGTCCTTGTTAGAAACTCTTTTTCGTGAAAATAAGAACAGAATTTCAAGAATGTGGCATAATATGTGAGAAAGGGTAACTACTGTTCTAAAGTCTGAGAAAGTGCTAGAAACTATACAGCTATATATTAAAAATGTATAAAGCTACAAATATATTTAAAAAGCTAAAAATCTTTAGGCATGGACAAATGCTCACTGTATACATCAGATGACATCACATTTTTATCCTGGATTACCTATTAAATCAGGGCTTCTCTCACCATACTTGGTGTCTTTGTGTAGATTGGGAAACATTTGACTGATCACACAACAGGTACTAGCCAACCCAGCCAGATGGCATATGGTTTGCTTTGGGCTTTTGCTCATCTCTCATGACAAACAGAAGTTAGTGAGTGGTACAGGGGTAGAACTACTGTGGTGGTGGAGCGCAGGGTGTGGAAAGGCCCATAATATGTTGTGGAAACAGAAAAAATGGGGACCAGGAGGCTACCTGGGATTCAGCCTTGAGATGAAAAAGCTGCTTCATCAAAGGTCTCTTCAGTTACATTGATCAGTTTCTACAGGTGATTCTCACTGACCCTCTTATGAACCACTGAACCTCCTTGCATGTTAACAGATTCTGCAAGCAGGAATATCTGTGGCTTAAAGAGTATAAGTTACTGGCGGAAACACAAAAGATAATTAGTAGCTCGTTAAGCTTAACCTAGGTACATTCACCATCCCTGGTCAGACACCTGAAGGATCTTGGCAGGCTGTGTAGGCATTGGGCAGAAGGAGAAAGCCTTTGCTGTACCTTGGAATGGTTCTCATATCTCCAATATCAATTAATTGTTGTCCATGAAATCCACTAATACTTACATTGTGTTGACACTGCTGGTCTGACTGACAGTCAGCTGATCACTGCCAAGGTAGCTTCTTTTTCCTCCTTCATGAATATAATATCTTTCCATATAGGTATTTTTCCTCTTGAGTCACCTTTCTTGTTCTTTTTACAGCCTTTTTCACAGGTCTTATGCACAGCTTAGTAATCTTCTGTGCAGTCTGAGCTAAGGTTACTCAGCTGGGCCTTTGCTCTTTGGACGAGCAGCTGAACTTTGGGGTGAAGGGGAGGCTACAGATGGAATTACAAATCTGGGCTTCCATGTTGCATATATGCCTTTGTTGTCAGTTTGTCTCATGCTTCTCATAGGTTTTGTTTGGAGTGTGCTTGTGTCAAGCCTAGTCAAGGTCCCCACCTAGGGTGGAAAAAGTAGTTTTCTCTGAGTAGATTCTGTAGTAGCCTGTCCTGTCAGCATTGCCATCCAAGCAATCAGGCTACTCCAGAATATACTGTAGACCAAGAAGCACCAATTCCCACTACTTTTTTTCAGGACATTTATTTACTGTCCCAAAACAATGGCTTTTTTAACTGAAGTGTCTCAACTTTACAGGAGAGATGGCATCTGATCCTATTGGACAACAAAAATGTTATGTTTGAGTCATCCAAACCCTTGGAAAGTACCATTCAGTCAACATGAAAGTTGCTAGATTCTAATTCCCGTTGTGACTAAAGCAAAATGTATCTTCATATAAAAAAACAGAAAACTCCACTGGCTTTTGGCCTCTTGCAGCTCTTCTGCATTTCAAACCACACGTGTGGGATATGCAGATAGATTTACTAATGATTGCATATTCTGTAATGGCAAAGATACGTGTACCAGACTGTAGTAAATGCATGTTTTGTTTGACTCAGAAATTGCATAGACTTGGGAAGCTCTGAATCATAGGTGTTATTTTTGTTTAAGTAACCTTTTTGAAAGTTGGATTCCCTAATTGGAGGCTAAAACAGGAAGCAATTGCCTGTTGGTAGTTCTTCATAATGTTCAGGGTTTCTTCTTAAAGCTGAGTGTCTATAAAATAGAATTGTTAGCTTTCCATTTCTCTGTCTCCTCCTTAGCCTCTATTTTCAGAACATTAAGTTAACTTGGTTGATGTAAAAGGAAAAGAGAAGAGACAAATGGAAGACATTCTTCCTTTTAGTGTAAAGGCTATATAAGATCTATAACAAAATGCCAGGTTCTAGCCCTTCTCTAGGTATTAGTAGCTCTGTAGTTAGGAACTAGGTCACCTTGGGATGAGAGCACACTACAGTGGAGGAGATGATGCCATGCCAGTAGGTCCAGAATGATGCTAATGGCACATCAGTCACACCTGACTGGGGCATGGCCAGTGCAGAGCAGCTGTGTCCCACCTACACCAGAGCAGCAGGTGGGGCCTGAGGCACCTCTCTTGTACAGCAAAGTTAGTGCCGTGTCCTACAGCTTCCCCAAGCAGGGAATGCTGGAGCCTCTTTGGCTGCAGTGTTGGATGCAGTGAGAGATCCTCTGGAGACTGGAAAGTGGAAGGAAGAGGGAAGATGGGACAGAGCAGTGGCCATTGAGTAAATGAGATACAAAAGCTACCAATTAGGGAATGATTTTAATTAAAACTGACCTTAATTTTAAAAATTAAACACAAAAAACCCAGAAATTGCTTAGTTAGCAGAAAGGATCCACCTGGGCACCCTGTAGGAAACGGAGCTGCAAGTTCAGAGCTGCTTTGCATGTTTAAGCAAAGAGAACTGCTAAGCAAGCACTCCACCACTACCACAGCCCCTGTATGTTAATTGTTCTTGCAGCCACTTGGCTCTTCATTGTAACTCCTCTCCCCCGCGAGTTGCACAAGGAAGAAAGCTGGGATGTTCCTTTACCTGCCAGGGAAAAGATCTAACCTTGCTTGTCAACAATCGTTGTCTTCCTAGCACCATCTCTAAATACAGAATGCACAGTGAGTTTTCTTAGGAAATTGAGGCCAGCTTCTAGGGTTTGTTTCTCAGTGATTTCCTTTGCCTGTGTGAAAGGTGAGGCTGCAGAACACTGTTCTCATGAGCCCTTAGGCGTGTGCATAGTACGTGTGCAGTCTGGTCTGCCCAAGAGCTAACTGGCACCCATGTCGAGCAGTAGTACCGAGCCAAGAGGAGTTTGAGAACTTCTGTGATAAACAGTGACTGGATTTCATGACCAGGTCTATGCGTTTCTAACTTTAAAGATCTTGGGATGTCATTTTGAGGGTCAGAGGGGTCCTGTCTATTAAGTTTGGAGCTATAATGAGGAAATGGCTTGCTAAATATTACTTAATTAAGAATAGAAAATTGTTTCTCTTTGTTTTTGAAAATGGTTCACATGTGGCTGAATTCAGCCTTTAACCACAAGGATTCCTTAAAATACAGTATTTCCTTATATATTTAATAGCTATGTAAATTAAATGAGATTTTTTTATATGTTTAAATGTTATCTACCTTTTTTTTCCCTTGATAGAAACAGTACGGCCAAAAACACCACCTGTTGCAATAAAGCCTCAAATAAAATCACAAGAGGTAAAAATGCTGTTATATTTTATCTGTGATTTTGTATGTGAAGCTGTTTCTTAATAAGTAATTACACATATTTTTGAGTAAGTTCTGCTATGAAATCATAATATAGTACCTGACAGTCCTAACCTGCTGCTGTTTTGCTGTGATATTAATTTTTAGCCTATAATCTTGAAACTCATTTTCAGTTGCAGAAACAGGAGTTTATCTGAAGAATGATTTCCTTAGTATCCTGCACATTATGATGTGATTTTACTGTCAAGAGTGAAATTTCCAAAACGTTTGGATTAGGTTAGCATTGCATTGAGACACTAGCAGTACCTCCATAAAAATGCATTTGTGTGCCATGTTCTGTCCAACTCTTCAAGCTGTGGTCAGGCTGAAGTATAGAAAATCTAAATGATACATTGCAATAGCAGCACTGTTTTATTTCACTTTTGCTTGGTACTGCAAAAACCTTTACCTTAGACACATAATGACCCTTGTTCATTTCTGAATTGTAAAATTGGTGCCAGAGAACACTCTTGGCAGTAGCAGAGCTGTGCATTCACTTGCCAATAACATGCACTGGGCAAAGATTTCCAAAGAATCGTCCTCTCTTAATCTTATTTTGGTGTAGAAAACTATTACTGAATTGTGGTCAAAATTTTAATATTTAGGTCCTGTTCTAAACTACTCAGGAGTTTATTATTGTTTCTGAAGATTACAAACTAAGAATTAAAGTTGTTAAGAGAGCACAAAAAGACAGCCTGGAATGTAAAGCAGATAATTTTCAGTACAGCTGAATGTCTTCCATTTTACAAATATATAACTTTTTTGTTTGTACAAAAATACTCTTAAGGAAAAGTAGCCAGTGAAGAGAAGCAGTTGTGAGAATAATGCATTTGGGTTTTCCAAACTCTACTTAAAAGTGGTCACATGAGTGGAAGTATGTGTTGGTGACTTGTTTTACCCTTTCTGGATAAGTTTTTACTAAAGTGTCTTGTTGCAGGATGAGGAAGAGATTTCCACAAGTCCAGGTGTATCAGAATTTGTGAGTGATGCTTTTGATACCTGTAATCTGAATCAGGAAGATCTAAGAAAAGAAATGGAACAACTAGTGCTAGACAAAAAGAAAGAAGAGACTTCAGCAGTAGAAGGTAAAGCTACTATTACCTCTGTTTCTTACAAGAGCAATTCTAGGACAGGTTGATTTAAATTAAAAGAAAAAAGAAAAGTTGTAATCCAATTCAGAAAAGTAGATCTGTCACTGTTTTTTCCAAAGTGTATTAAATAACCTTCAATGAGATGTTGCAGAAATTTATGATGATTTTTGCCATGGTCAAACCACATCTTATACAGAATGTTAACTGTACGTGGTTTAAATCCAAAGGACCTAAGAGTTTTAGTTCGCTTTTCTATGAAAGTGTATGTGGGGTATTTTTTTCTTTTTATCTCCTCCTTTCTCTTTCATAGGTTCTTCTGCATATTAATTGTTTTCTTTAATTGACATCCTTGTAGGTAAAGTACAGTATTTGAAAGTCAGGCTCTGTTTTCTTTTGGCACCATCTAAAAGGACAACATTTGTACCAGGCTTGAAATGAGCTTGAAAAGGTTTATAAAACCTATAAAGGTTTAGAGGCATTTGGAATAGTTAAAGTTTAACAAATAGTTCTGAGAATGATGATAAGAAATTAAGTGGAGCTTATTAATTAAAATAATTCAGAAGAACTAATATCAGTGTAAAGAGCATAAAACCAGCCTGTGCTGATGTGACTCTGGACATACATAATTTACTATGACAACACTTGTATATGTAGATGCTTTCGATTTTGCTGAGTCATTGTTTTCTGATTTTTTTTTTCTGTCCAATACATTGCCAAGCTTGAGGAATTGTCATGAGTAGTATCAGTTTCTTGCATCTAGTTCTTTGATGAAAGTGTTTCAATAGGCCATTAATGTGTTACTTGTTCAGAGAAATCTCAGCTGGCCGGACTGACTTGGACTCTGGAATTGCGAACCTTCCTATCTAGGCTGCAGTACCAAGCAACGTGTAACGCATCAAACGCCCATCTCCTCCCCCACACTCTTGCTTATGATAGGTAGAGCTAATTAAAATAGAGATTTAACAACACAGGAATGCCTTCTGACTCATTTTTTGCCCTGAAGTATGAACTATGATTACCTTTAGCCCTGATTAAATGAGCTTGCCTAGCTACAAATGTCAGTGAGGAGAGTTGCTGCTTCTTTGTTTTAAACTAGCCACAGTATTTTATCTTGATTTCTTTTTTCCATAATAGTATATCCACACTTTGCAAACTTCATCTTTTTATGGAGATTTAAAATTGCAAAGGGAGATTGAGTTGAAAGTAGAGTGAAAGACTGTAGGAAATGATCTTGCAAAGGGACACTCATAATGACTTAGCTGTATATTTGCTCTTTATATATTTATTATAGTATGCATACAGGAATATAGCCTTGTATATTAATTAATTCCTACTTGTGATCAGTAGAAAGGTGAAATTTCTGAAGTTCCTTTTGTTTCTGAGAATAGTCCATAAAGTTTAGGGGATATAAAAAAGATTCAGTGCAAAATCACCTAGTTTTATTCAATAAGCAACATTCAATATTATCCATTGATAATATTACACATCATTTGTCTCTTTTAGAAGAAACTGCTGATTGGGAAAAGGAATTGCAACAAGAGCTTCAAGAGTATGAGGTGGTGACAGAATCAGAAAAGCGTGATGAAAACTGGGATAAAGAAATAGAAGAAATGCTGCAAGAAGAAAATTGAACATTTTCACAAAATCACTATAACCCAAAGCTCTTTCGGAGGACTGACATGGATTTCTGCTTTCATATTTTGCTTACAAAAATATCTTCAGAAGACAAAAGAATCTAAAGTCATTATAATTCCATATGGGAATACAACCAGTATTTCTGTTCTTTATATGAGCAGTTTCTGAACTTCTATATTCTTCAAAAGAAAAGAAAGAGGAGGCAGATACTGCAGGTTATAATTAAAAGTGATAACATTAATACATGAAACAGTGGTTCAATTTGAGGCATTTTTAGGTGATCAAGAAGCTCTTCAAAGAGATTTTTAAATCTAAGAACCACAATTTTTTTTTGTCTACAGCCTTCTGTTTGGGATGTAAAAGTGGATATTGTAAGTAACTTAGTCCTTTACAACAATTCTCTCTTGACATTTGCACTCTGATCCCTGTATAATCTGTAAATGTGTACTATTTTTAAGGTACTTGTAGTTGGTAGATTTCACATGTATTTAACTTCCTTAATGTATGTAGCCAAAGAATTTCTAGAAAATGCTATTGAATAACTTTCAAGGATTTGGTAAAATATACTAATGCAGAATCCAGAAGAAGCTGATTATTTATCAGTCAGGCAGCAAACATTTAAGCATTTAAATTAGGGTAGAGATAGTAACTGCTTGAATTAAATTTGGGTTTGTTAATCATATTGAGATACTGCCTTTCCCCACAGAGAGAAATGGTTTAATGCATTCTTTCTGCAGAAGGCTGCTATGTTTCCATTTAATTTTACTGTCTGAGCTGAGAGCAAATTAAATGCTTCTCCTTACTTTAAGTGCTGAAACATTTATGTAAAAACTTTCACTGGTTTGGACATCTTTATTAAATACTGTAAATATGTATAAAATTGGCTCATTTATTTGGAGGGAGGGAAATGAGGAGTAAATATGCTTCAGACACAGTTTTTAAAAGTATACTTTTTCACAGTGCTTAAGACATAGAATTTAAATTTTAAAATAGGGTTTTTTTCTCTAAAAAGTTTTTGATTCTTCATAGGCATCTGGATGTTTCCTGTGGTTATACCATTAAGTCAGCAGCTTTACATATAGATAAATGAAAATTTTATGTTCTGCTTATCATCTATTTCATAAACTTCTATGACAAAGCATTCATGGAATGCCAAATACAAAGGAAAATGGGTAAAATTAAGTAGGTTGGAGCCATTAAGCACAATTGAATTATAGGCATGTTACATACAGTAAGCTCTGTCTTAATGACATAATTCTGCAGAAAACTTTTGTAAAGAGACTGAAGAGATTATAGCTGTAATTACTCAGTCAATATTCATCCTGTGGGAAATGAAAAGAGCTAAGTAGTTTCCACTGCTGTTACTGTAAGAAAGGACTATTTAAAATTGTCTCCATTAGCAACTTGGCCAGAAAGTTCTCTATTTCTCATTGTGGAAAAAGAATTGTTTTAAACCTGCATACATTTGGCTTCTCAAATTAGTTTATTGCCATACACCTTCTGAACTACAAACTATTTTAAGCACAATTTATATTTTTATAGGATTTTTCACTTAGTTAACAGATGCGAGGTAAGTTACAGTAAATAAGAGGTACTTAAGGAGATTTTTATATCTGGGATTAATTAAAGATGACAAAAGTTAAATCTGTTATGCTTATAAGACTATTCACAGCTCAGTGGTTACTCTTGACAAATACATCTGCTGTGGATTTAAGCTGGGGACATTAAGATCTGTCTACTGTACAGTTTGACATGATACCTTCTATAAAGATGAGTAGTTCTATTCTGATAGTGGCAAATATTCCCTGGATGACTGAGAGCTCCAAATCACTGCTCCAAAAGTCCACCTTCTTAAAAACAAGCCTGATCATTCCTAATTTTTTCAGGTGTATGATGGCCTTATTTGCGTGGGGCTTGTACATCAAGCCTCATTTTTCTTTTCATGTAAGCATGACCTATATAGTGGTCATAGATATCAAATTCCATTTATCACAAAAGATGGTTCCTTCATATAAAATTTTCATTTTTCCCTTTTTATGAAAAGCAAGTATATCTATAAAATAAAAGAAACCAACCCACTGCTTAAATTTGCATTTAAAAAAGATAATAATGTAGCAAGGCTGAATCTGACTTGAGCTCTGATATTTAAAGTCTCTTATCAAAAGTCATATTAATATTTTCAAATCCGGGTATCTGGTTTTAAGCTGGAAAACTGAAGTAAATTCTCCATAGTCCTGCAGTTTTCAGACCTGCCCCGTGCCTTTCATTTAGGTAGGTGCTACAAGTGCCTAGCAGTTCTTATTGTGCATGGGAAGAGGGAAAGTTTCTGCATTACACTTGCCACATGAGAGGAGCACAGGTAGACCTTTTCATGTTCGTGGTGAATTTTGCATGCCTTTGTACCCAAATGTGTCATAATAGTATATTACATAAGCAAGTGGGCTTGTCTTTTCTTAACAACATCATTCCAAGCACTGGTATGGTGCAGATGCTAAAATCCAGCATAGCAGTGCTATGAAATCAGTGACAAAATGAAAACAAAAATGAATGTAAGTAACATCATCCTGTGGATACAGAGTGACAAAAAGTACAGTTCTTCAAAACATTGAGAAGAAGCAAACAACAAATCAAAAGATAGTTAACAAATTTTCTTAGAAGATAAACTTTCAGATTTTTTAATTAACCTTTGGGAAACGGGGCAAAGATCACCCAGGAATCATAGAGGTTAGCTTGGAATAGCTCTGAGATACCAGCATCTCTACTTATTCTGTGCACTGAACAATCATCTTCAGCTATTAGTTTATAATTCCAGTTGGTATTAGTTAATACCTGTATGGAATTTCTAAAATTTAGTAATCTGCCTGAAGAAAGAGGAAAGATTGTAAAATCTTAGAATAACAAAAGTGTTGTGAGAAGTTCCCATACATTTTTATTTGATCACTTACTGATGATCTGTTATCAAAGTTAATCAAAGCTTTCAATTTCCTGAATTGTTCTAGTAAACTTTATATTTTTTTAGTTTTTTGCCTCAGTATTTTTTTACTTGCTGTTTGGGGATCATGGTGGTCAGTTGGTAATGTATGTAATACTGAAGTGCAGGATGTCAATTTTAACCTCATGCATTTAAAGAACAACCCTGTGTGCAGGAGTGTATTGCTGGACTCTGAGATGCATCCTTGAACTGTTGGCCACTCACATATTATTGACTTTTACTCTGCAATATCTATTGCATAGAAAGGAGCAAAGTGTGTCTGGTTATTCTCTGTGCCCTGTGAAGCAGTAGCAGCTGCATTGGGCCCTCAGTCCCGAGGCTGTGTCAAGAATGTAGTCGTACCATTGATGCCTTTTTCTCTGATCCTAACAATACAAGCAAGACACAGGGTGATAAAAAGGGGTACGTTTATCTAAGAATCCTCAGGTGCACAGCTTGTTAGGTGGAAAACACCAAGGATGCATACTCTGCGTGATGTGTGTACAGTTATTGTAGATTTTGCACATTGACATATCTGACAAGAGCCCCACAATTAGCAGTGCACCTGGTGAAGTAATCTTCCCAGTTCTAGTATCTTCTAAATTCTCCCTGCCTGCAGTGGGGAACAGGCCCTGTTTAGAAAAATATATCTCAAAAAGCTGGTTTCAACCTTGGTTTCTAAGGAGAACCAAGATAGCATAGGGGTCCTGGAATTTGTTTTGTCTTCTGCCTAGGAAATGCTGAAGCTAAGCTACAGTTACAAGCTACAAAGCTACAAATGTATGTGTAAAGAAAACAGACAATATCTAAAAGAAAAAAAAAGGTAAAAACCATCATTTCCCCCCTTTTTTTAGAGACTAACAAGACTCTATCTCATCTAGTCTCTTATTTCCACATTCAGCCCCAGCACCAGTTTACACAAACAGTTATCCCACCACCTATCACACAGATGCCAACTATAGCTACAACTATTATGAATAATTCTTTTATCCAGGCCGAGTTTGGTAATCATGAGGTGAGGGTGTGGAACATATGGTCAAAGTTTAAGGTGTTATTTCTGGAAGCTACTTCATGTAAAATTTTAGTTTCCTTCCAAATTTCATCCACATCATTCCTAACTCTTCCACTCTGTCCACATAAGAACAAGTGGTATTAATAATAGCACATACACCTCCATGTTCAGCAAATAGGAAATTGAGAGAGCTGTTCTGTTCTGCATAACCACACAAGACAGACCATGGACTTCCTCCTGTAAGGCCAAAGTTGCATCTGCAGTATGCTGTTCAATAATCTCAATAACGGCTGAGATGTTACAATTACTGTCTGTAAGTACTCCAAAAGAGGGAAGGAAAGCTCTGACTATATTGTGGAAAAGTGTGGGATGTGTAACAAGGGCATTAACAGGTTTTTTATTTCCTCCCATTTGGATTTTCCATATGATCAAATATTGTTATATTTGGAATTTCAGCCCTAAGGGCACAAGCCTGATCTTTATCTCTGGGCAGGATTTTTCAGGCCTTATTGTCACATATCCAATACCACCCTGTCCCCAGTGGTAGAACTCATCTCCATGATGTCAGTTCCATCTTCTTCAGTTCTTGGGCTTTCAAACACCCAGGCCACCCTTGGCTAACACTGTCTAGCTTTTGTAAGTGGGCCACAGCCCTTTCCTCCAGGGTGCTGCACCAGTGCCCCCAGAGCACCATTCAGTCACACCTATGTAAAGAGTTCAAAAGGCTTAGTTAAGTCCAGCAGCCCCAGAGCTGGGGCTGACATCAGGGAATGTTTCAGCTGTTTAAATGCAGCCCTTGTGCTCTCTGTCCACACGATGGTTCCCTTTGTGGCTCCTTTAAGGCTCCATATAGAGATTTTACTATAATTTGTCCATAATTTGGTATCCATAAGTGACACCAACCTGCCATTCCCAGGAAGGCTTGCATCTCTCTCACGGTGTGGGGCTCTGGAGGACGGTAGATTACTTCTTTCTGTTCTCTGCTGTGTTGTCAATGTCCACAGAAGATTTCTAGCCCCAGACAGACTACTGTTTTCCTGGTAACCAGTGCTTTCTCTTTCAAGACTCTATACCCAGTTAGTCCCAAAAGGTTCAACAGAATTACAGTGAGCTGGATGCAGTGAGCTTGCATATTAGCTGTAATTAGGGTATCATCAACATATTGAAGAATAACCCCTCCTGGTTCTTGTCTTCTCCAGTCCTCCAGCTCCTTTGCAAGCTGGTTTACAAATACTGTTGGGCTATTTTTGAATCCCTGGAGTAGAACTGTCCAGATGAGCTGCATTTTCCTCCCTATCTCAGGATTATCACACTCAAAAGCAAAATGTTCTTGGCTGTTCTTATGCACAGAAATAGAAGAAGACATCCTTGAGATTTAAAACACTGAACCACCCTAATTAATTTGTCAGTGTGGTCAAAAGAGTGTAGGGGTTTGCTACAATTGGGTGTATATCCTCTGTTACTTCATTAATTTCCCTTAAATCCTGCACTAATTGATAACTCTTGCCATCAGCCTTTTTTACTGGCAGAATGGGTGTATTACCTTTAGATTCAAAGTCCACTAATAACCCAAGTTGAAGGAACTTCTTAATTATAGGTGCCAATCCCCTACGGCCTTCTGATTTCTAACTTGTTTCTGCCTTACTGGTGTATACCCTACTTTGAGTGTAATACTCACAGGCTCAGTTCCTTTGGATCTCCCAGGGAAATCATTGGCCCACACTATTGGAATCACTATTGGACAGCATCTTCAACTTCTTTGGGAATTTCTCCATAATTCTCCTGTATGAAAATAGCAGCTGCCTCAACAAATTTAGTTTCAGGAATTATAACTTTCACTCCCCCTTCTTTGGGAAATTTGATTCCTGCTTCTAATTTCTCTAATAAATCCCTCCCCAATAATGGCTTCGGGGAATTTGGCATGTAAAGGAGTTGATGAATCACTCAGTGTTTTCCTAACTTAAATTTTAACGGTTGGAAGAAAGGCTTTGTTTCACTTACCCCTGTGGCACCAATAACATTTACAGTATCTTGACTCAGTTTCCCTTTAAAGTATTTAACACAGAATACGTTGCCTCCATATCCACCAAAATTCAACATCATCTTTCCTCAGCTTAGCTACAACTGAAGGCTCTGCTAGGGGTGATGCTGTTGCTGTTTTCCCAACCTAGAAATGAATCTCAAGATAATTTTAGTAATATAAAAGTGGATCTTTATTTAACATTACCCATTCATAGATTTTCCTTCCAAAATACTAATTTTCAATGCTCTTCTCCTTTGTTTTAAATATTTAGATCGTTTGTGTGTGTTAGATCATCATTCTAATTTTTTTAACAAAATGGCAAGTCAATTAATTCCTTGCTCTATTTTCTTTCTATATATTTTAGTTAAGTATTGGCGAAAACAACAATTTCTACAAAAATATCCGAAGACATGCATGGCTTTGTTTTATTCTCAGTATAGCCTATTTATAGCATTTGCTATAGATAGATAGATAGATAGATAGATAGATAGATAGATAGATAGATAGATAGAGACCATCATACATATAAATGGAAACCCACATGTGTCATAGTGTCTAAATATATTAAAGAAATTATGAAGTACTTTTTGGCTACTTTTAACTAGATACCATCGAGAGACAAAGGACAACCAAAATAATTAGCATTAGTTTGTCACACTATCTTTTGTAATGAGATGACTCTCTGTAGAAATTAACGAAATCACTTGCTTTGTTTCCTAAAAAACTGATTTGCATTAAGGGCAAGTTGGGGACATTCTCCTTTGCTAATTCAGGAATTCATGAATCTATGACAAACCTCTCCAGATAAACTCGGGAGGTATAATTAACCCAAAACTACACAGGTTATTTTCTCTATGTGATTCTGGCAAAGTAGGGAAAGACAAGTAAAATGCCTTTAGTTAAGGGCTTTATATAAAATTAGAAGAATAAATATTTGATGCCTTCTTAGATATATGATGCTCTAAAGAAAACCATGCTTAGTGGAGTTTTTTTTATTTGTATGCCTGCATAAAACAATAATTCTGCAGTTGCTTTTATTTATTTCTTCTCGTGGCTATGGTTTCCATACACCAATGTGAAGGTTTAAGAGCCAGATAAGACTGCTGCTTTTCTGCATTTCCTCTCCTTCCCAATTAAACCTGTTTACCTCGCAGTCAAATAATGGCCAGAGAATGAGTTGATACACCCAGCTTCTTGTCCCGCTTACTTCAGAAATGTTTTAATGTTGGCCTTGTGTCCTTTGATGCCAGCAATTTAAACTTCAAACGGTATCATCACCACCTTTCATCCTGTATCATGTGCAACGAGACTTTCAGGCCCATCATGTGTTGGGTGGATGAAAGGTCCTGCTGTAAGGATGTTACTGGGTGGAGAGGAGCTTCCACAGATATTTGCTGTGGATGTGGAAACAACGATCTCTTGCTGGGATGTAGTGTCAAAAAATTAGTGGGCATGTACATGAAAGAGCAGGAAACATTGCCTAAGCAGGTGAAAATACTGGTGCAAAGGATCTTTCAGGTGGAGGAATGTTGCTATCCAACCCACTTTGTGTTTCTCTGGCTGTGGATGTACTTACTAGTCAGCTGACATGTCTGAGCACATGTTGACAACAGAATGATTATAAGCAATTAGAAAGACCACTAATAATGTTTGCCCTGAGTCAGCTAGCAATCTCTCCATCCCGGTCCCTGCACTATTGCCACTAGAGCTGGCAAACAACCCAGCCTTGAGGCCAGGTGCCAAGGGGTACAGTAGGGAGTGGTCTGCATCCCTTTCCCCTGGGGAAGCAAGAAAGAACAAAGAAAATCACCAGCATATTTAAGTCACAAGTGCAAGAGTAGCTTCTGGCTTGGGTGCCAGGCCCCCAGTCCTGGCCCTTGTAACCCAGGAGAGGAGCAGTGTCAGAGTGAGCAGTGCCAGGCTCACCCAGCCCCACACCAACCACCTCCCTCCCTAACCGTGGCTGACATCTGAATTCTATTGCAAAGTATGTTTGCACAAACATGCAACTG